GAGATAACCAGAAAGACATCGACAAATTTATAACGCGTGAGATAGATAAGGCTATTCTAGAAAGGCGATTACTTGGTGGGTCAGTCCACCCTGAGTCAAGAGACAAGATTGAGGAAGCACTCTCGAGAAAGGTTGATGGGATGTAAGTAGAAGACCTACGCCACCCTACCATGGACCCTCTGATGAAATAACCTTGCCAGGTTCTAATGGGTCGCGCTCGCTCTACAGATACCGCATATCTGTGAGTTCCAAATTGCCCAGGATGTGGAGAAGAATCTATCGCTTCTTCCAGATACGCTGCAGCAGAGTTATGATCTGATTTATGAGCGGATCGAGCGGCTACTTGGATCTTCAGCAATACTAGTGAAGAGGGCGTTAATGTTTATAATGTGTTCATAGTGGCTGATGAAGTTTCATGACTGGATAGAAGTTGTGAAATTGTCTGTATAGCAGGATGGATGGAGCGGATGGGACTTTGACCACTTATCCAAGCTTTATCAAAACCTTGTGGACATCGATGCTGAACTTTGGGTGGTACGATTTGCACATCTATCAGTTCGAGAATTTCTAGTTGAGAAGAACCTGGAGGGAGAAGGGTATCGCATGATGGCAGAATGGCGCGCGGGAATTATGACATGGAAGGATTTTAAAGGAAATATTCCCAATGTAATCCTGCTGAATTGGTGGGACTATGTTTTCTGCAATTGGGGTACGCATATGCTGAAAAGTCCCCGAAAAGACGTCGATGCCTATCTTTGGAGTGTTAATATGCTTGTATTTCCTGAGCGTCGGAAAGTGTGGACTAGGCCCTTCGTTTCCAAGAGAACAAAGAATTGGTTCATTAAAAATATATCGTCAGGTTGCCACTACCTATTCATCTTTGCCAGACTCGGTATGCATGCTAGTGAGTAGTACTAGCCTCCTAACGCTACAACGCTGATAGATTCCGCCGGCGCTTCCCCTTTCAAATGAGCTATCCAATACGACCATCTACAAATACAAGACTCTTGGATGATGGAGAAGAGAATCCAGGCGACGTTTTAAAGCGGCTTCAACAGAGGTCATTACCAGGATGCTCTCAAAGAGCCACTGAATTAATTGACAAGTACCTGTCGTCACGCACTCCAGCACCAGATCTCGTCATCGAACCGCCGCCAGTACCGAATGAACTGCCGCCACGGTGGGCGGTGCCCTTTCTAGCACCACCCATTCCAGGTTTCCGGTGGGTTATGGGTTAGGTGGTCGAAGGAAGATTTGTAGTACTAGAGAACCTATAGTTGGTCTGGTCCCCATCTGCGGAAGTACGATGTATGACTGATTTGTTTCAAGTGTCCCCTCCGCTCTCTGTAGATTACGTGGTTATGGCGCTATCTCATGTAGGAGATCAGTCTCCATGTTTCACTATTTTCAGGCGCCACAAGATCCGCTCATTTTTGTTTTTCATATATTTACTTTCCACTTCCTTTTTTCTCTGGAATTGAAGTTCATTACGCGTTCTTTATTTCCTTTTTTTCCTTTTTTTCCAATATATTTCAGCAAATCGTGTTTTACCTTCATTAGCAATCGTAGAACGTGTACATACCGAGAAATAGTAGAATGTAGACACGTACCAGTCCCATATCCATCTCGCATCTACCCTGAAATCTAACTCATGAGTAAGACGCGTACCTGACCGGGAAAAAAGCCTCCCTCCGAACGCTCCGTCTATCCGTAACCTTCTAGCATTCAACACAGACTGAAACAACAACGTCACTTGAAGAGTCATTCATCAAAAAGTGAATCAGCCAAGCCCCTGGGCGGGCTGCATCCGATTAATGAATTAAACAAAAAAAGATCCACCGGTCGCGCATTATCGCCGAGTGATAGTACAAGATCGAGTGATACCCCATGATTTAACATCCCCCGCCCAGACATGCGACATAACAGAATGAATTGCTCCACCTTTAGTCCCATACTTAGCAACGGATACCTCCACATTTCTCAACCAGCTACCACCGCCCACCCCGGCACCTAGGAGCCTAGATTGAAATTGAACTCCTACCACTAGGAGGCCGGCTTAGCAATGAGGGAATAGGGATGAAACTAAGAATGTTTAGGTCTTTGGCTTTGGCGGAGAACAGGTACAAGAACGTGATCTACATATGTTCATGCTGTGATCGTACCCCAATCCTCTCTCTCCCATATGAGCATAACCTTTTTCCCTTCAATGCCTAGAATACCGCCCCAAATCATGACTGAATCTTGCATGCGGAACTTGGGAGCAAGACAGGCCTCTAGCCAAACCTCCTCCACTGCACGTGTAACATAGACTCTCCCGCGCTTACACCCTAGCCAAATGGAGATCTCATCTGTCCATATGACACGTCTCCAATCTCTTACTGTCCAGTGTTGATGGGCTTGGGTGAATGCTAGCCTCTTTGCTTGTTTCATATCGTATAGGAAGGGCTTCTTACATGCTGACCATCATTATCGCCTTCTTTAGCAAAGGCATCTCTTAATGTCTTCTTGTCGGCTTCTAGTCCAATGAGTTGCATTATTTCTGAGTAGGGTTTGCGGCGGTTCTCGGCATTTAAAGTAGCAGTGTAGACAAGCCTCCGGCGAGTAGGTGTATCAATTTTGATCTTCCTACCGCACCTGTTCTTCCTTCCGGGTGTCGCTGGGCTATTACAGATCTTTGCTACAGTGGAGAGAGGAAGGTTTTGGTCTTTAGCAATGCGATCATATGTCCAGCCGGTAGAAAACTGCAATTCCTGGACATAGCACCGCTGCTTGTAATCGATATCATCGGATTGGACAGTAACCATTATAGGAACACACGGTTAATCGTTCTGTTAAATTCGGAACTTCACTTATCTCCTATCTACATATGATCACTCTCGCGTGCCTTTTAAAATCGCTGCCTTCGGGCGGGCATTGCTGGTGCTTGGGCGTTGCTAGAACCTTAGAACCTGGCGCCGTTCAACATCACCAATAGGAATCGACGATCTCTGGTGGCACTCGCTAACCCCTGTTTCTACAATAATCTTCCCTCTCGCTGTGCAGGGATTGGCATGCGATGCGATGTTCCAGAGATCCGATAAGCGACGGTTACGCAAACCCGGTTTGAACCATATCTCTGCATGACATGCGGGAGCGGGACGGCCCGGGCCGCAAAAAGCAAAAACGCGCGTATTGTGTTTATGCACCTGCGATGGGGGGAGGTGCTTACGGATCTCGGTTACGCTGCCGAATGATTTGAGAAATGCACTTAGCGTTTGTGTGCTTTTTGATGCAGATCGAGCCCTCACATCGGCACAACCTCATGATAGCTTGATCTTGGTGGTGTGCAGGTCGATCATGGTGCTGTTTCAAATCGTGTTGGTGCCAAGCACCTGCAGCGTTGTAAGTAAGGCCAACTAGAAGCAACCTTGTCACGAGAAACCGTGACCAATCGTGGATATCGCCGCAGACCTCGCGCGCCGATTATGTCGATATCTAGAGGTATAGTGGTATGTTTTGGTAAGTTTCTCTGGCGGTGAAGAGATTAAAGTACGAGATAATATCATGGTCGACAGCCTGTGCGCATTCTTTCTATTTTTCCGAAGCTGGATCTATCTTTCCGATACCCTCTCTGCAACATGACATTACGATATATCTCAAAAAAACTTTTTTTTAATTAATTGTATGCGATATATCATAGTTGGCATAATAAGAAATTTGAAATATCACGAAGTTCGATATAAGCAATCTCTACATATTGCGGTTGATGCGGTATGACATGAAAATCATACCGATACGTATCATCGGGAACCCTAGAGATGGGCAGAACAAAGCTTATGGAGTAGTCTATTTCGCCTCGCGGGGAGTGTGGGAGTGGAGCGAGGAAGCTGGTATGTATATCACAATACAGAGGCTTTCCCGATGACAGTGTAGAAAGCGAAATTATTAGTTGTTACAAAAAGGCCATCTTCTTGCCCGCACCGGTTAATCTGACTTTACCTTCCTATGGCGCGGACTTTCGGTTTCAATCAACCATAGAATATTTGATGTTTCAAGTCGCGGGATTGAACAAATTTTTTATCTATAATCAATACAAACCTATAGGGGAGGAGAGATCGTTTAGTCCTGCGTCATTTTTCACTAATTGACGGTAGATTTTGGCTGAAATCTTTTACTTTGCGCGTACGCTACTGAAAGTTTAGTTCTGCTCCTCCGGAAATAACGGTGGTGCCTCTCCCACGCCTCTTCTCTCCAGAACCGCGTTATCATAGTTCATCACCATCATATCATCAGAATAGCTACCACCAGCATCTAGTAAGAATGGAGGTAGGCCGACTCCACCGTGCCAGTTGATATTGGCACTGATAATCGCGGGAGTAGCGGCAGCAGTAGTACTAGTGGCAGTAGTGGCAATCATTGTTTCTAGCGGTTCCTCGGTTTATCAGTTCAATCAGCTTTTCTAGAACCGTTTAAGAAAACAGTTTAGTTCAGTTTTGCCTAGTCGCTATTTGGTTCAGTTCCCTTTGTGGCTTGCGGTAACCGGTTTTGTATGCAGGCGGAACTTTCTTTCATGCTTTCCCTATCTTTTGTTTCGGAGGCTCTATTGAGCCCCCCGATATATGTTTCATTTTTTTGATAGCGCTCGCATTGTGGTTATAGCTATATATAGGCCGCATGGACAGGCAGTGGCACAGAGTGTTGGATGCGCTACTGCGTTAACCCTAACCCTACGAGCGAGTGACGAATCAAGATGGCATACGAAGGCGACTGATGGAATGTTAATAGAGAGGGACAAATGGTGGTAGGTGACTGCTTGGAGACGGTGGTAGGCTATGTAGCTCGTGCATATATAATTTTGAAATTTTAGGACGGAATGTGCGGGGGGAAAGGTCTGGAATTGAGCTTCGGTGAAGGGAGGGGTGGCGGGGCATGATTGTGTATCATGTACTGTTTCCGGGGGGGGGGTGATACGGTGCAGGAATATATGTTTGTATTTGGTGAGGGAAGGCGAGTCGGTGTGGTCACGCGGCGTAGAGAGCCTGGTGCGGAGATGAGCGTGCGGTCGCGAGTGATCCGAGGTGCTCTTCGGGGTGTTGCATAAGTGCAGCGATAAAGATATAAACCGGGGAGAGGACTTCGTAGCAGGCACTACGGTTGTGCTTTCCTACTGAGGTTCGGCGGGCCGTATCGCGGCCGGGTGGGAGCCGGAGGTGGGTTTCCCTGTGAGGAGGCAGCAAGGATGACGTATGTTGACATTCCGGCCCGGCGGCCATGCATGGAGTAATGTGTTGCGGAGCGTCCCTCCTGATTAACACGGAAAGCGGGCAGTCGGGGAAGAGGTGTGTGCTTCGGGTGATTCCTCGCCGCAGACGGGGGTGCGCTGCGGTAACTCTTTCCCCCTTATGTCCTCTGTGCGCCCTCTCGGGACATGTACCCAACATGACGCGGCATCGGAATACGCACTCAACAGGTAACGTATCGGAAGCCGCCGACATAATACTGTAGGCACACGTATCCCCCACCCCTCCCTCCTTCCTCTCCACAACGGCGCCGGTCGTTCTCCACCCCACAGGCAGCGGGAGCGCAGTATACTCCCCCAACAGCCCACCGCGCACGAATAGCAGCGCAAAGCTACACTCTCGCAGCTCACGACGTCGTTGTGGTCGAATTTCGCGAAGCGGGAGATCTGGGCTATCGTGCTTATCCGCTCAACGATGCATTACCCGCTCTCCAGAGACGACCTGTTTAGCCGGCCGTTGGGCGGCGGTCGCCGTGGCAAGGTGGCCCATCTAACCAATACAGGTCGTAGTTGGAGTAGCGCGCTTTGTAGTACATAGGGATGGGTTGTGGGGTTGATATGTTCTCCTTCGTGGGGGTTATATGGATCATGTCGGATTACTACGGGGGCCCCGGGGGGGGGGGGGGGGGGGGTTGGAGCATGTAGGGTTGTTCTCGTGTTCTCTAAATCTACTTTCACCTCCGCTTTTCATTCCGGAGCACCAGTAAGAGTGGAGTCTCGACCTATTTCTGGTCACAGGGCGCAAAGAAGAAGGGGGGAAAAATTAAAAAAGAAACAGTGTCGGGCAAATGGGCAAATATAAGGAGAGGGACGTACCAACGTGGACGAGGTACCTCGAGAACGCCCCAGACCCCGCATTGATCGTCCAAGTGTACCGTACTGCACACCTCTGTTTCCCCCCTTACGCCGACTCGTTTTCTATTGAGATGCGTATCCGATCCAGGATACATTAACCCATTGATAGTGCTATCGATCACCACCGACAAGATGAGACTTGAAGGAAGACACCGATATCAATTCGGAGGTGAATTCGTCGTCTGTCAATCACCGCCGAGGGGATAACAATACACAAGAAGTCTCCTATAGCCAATAATCGGCACCCCCGAAGACCCAATTCGCGCAAAAGCAGTGTTTTCCGTTAGACAAAGCACTGCTACCTATTCCTTATCAGAACCACTGTCAACAACTAGCGCACCACTCCATTATCACAGGAGTAGCGCATCTCGGAGCAGATGTTTCCGTCATTACTACCCCCTTTGCGCATTAGCGCACGCCGGGAGTTGTAATGGCGAAAACAAGAGTAACGCTTTGTCTCCTATCTCTTGCGTGTCTGTGTCGAAATGGAGTTATCTCGCCTGTGGTGACTGTCCTACAACACCTTTCCGCGGACGGCGACGTCTTCGGCCTCTCAAAGGTTGTTTTTAACGGAGTTGGTTCGAGGTTCCGGTAATTTGTCCTACCCACCGAATCCCTCTATATACTAGCATAAGCGCCGATATTATATTAGTAGAAAAAAGGAAAAATAGATTAACAGAAGCCCACCTCCAATCCCGGAAAAAACACTTGATCCCTACATAACAAAGGGGGGCAGAGAACAGCTCGCCGGTGCCGGAACAAGCCTGTACCACTCGTCATTAGAGCTCACTGAGCTCTACGTGCATTCTCATTGTAAGGATCGCGCTTAATGCTCTGTTGTCCGTGATTTCAACGGACCCGAAACCAACCAATGGATTAAACAAATATATTAACCCAAAGCATCGAACCCCAACCCTACATGCGAGTGATTAACCATGATTGGCTTTACCGGCAGCGAGTGAGAAAACATGACCGGGTGATGTAGAATTATGATCATGTAGCATTTGGGATCATGCGCATGTGCTTTCAATCAAATAATGGTTAATGGGACATGTGCCGTTGTGGCCACCTCTCCCCGTTCTCTTCTAGCTCCGACGAGTTCAACGCTTGTAAGGGCGGGGCCTGCTCGAGCCTCGAGGTAGTCAGTCACCTGGATGCTAGCTCACCGTTGTCGCTGTCAGGCATTCGTTAGCCGCGGTGCCACGCCGCCGCATGCAGTTGTGGAGCAACAACGGAGATCCTGAAAGGCCAAAGGCGGGTGATTCGCAGGTAAGGCGCTACAGCTATAGACCCTGCGTAACAGGCATGTAACCCAGTGACTCCCCCCCCCTCCCCAAACATCGCGAAACCACCCGCCCAACTTCCGCCGAAGCCATCTTCACCCCGCGCAGCTAGCTAGCCCATCTGTAATATAATTCTAATACCGCCTCTAATACCGCCTCTAACCTACCCGCCCGCGCGACCTCCTCTTCTTGCCCGTCGATCAGTACCTCCGGGTCATACCTGACCGCCCTCGGCCAGCAGACACAAGCGCGGCCATCACCTGCACAACTCCACTCAACGCCCTGCTCGTACGTGGCGGTAAACCGCTGCTTCTGCACCACGCGCAGGTTGAACTCCACCAGCTGGTTGGTTGGGTTTGTCCAAGTACTCGCTTGCGTACGTATATGCATACGACGCAGGCGACCTTCGGCGATTGTACAGGAGCGCGGCGATGCGCGGGGATGCGCACCTCTTGGAAGGAGGAGGCGATGTAGGCTAGGTGTGGACGGATGGTGGAAGCGTACATGAGCTAGGTGGATGTTGCAGGGGCCGCGCAGGTCTCCAGGCCGTCGGGGTGGTTAGTGGCGGTGCAGGGTACCGTGTAGGTAGGTGTCCACGGGAGGGGGAATAGGTGGGTAGATATCTCCGAAGTTCGGCGGAGTGGCGGTATTGTTCGCGGGATGATGCGGCGAATCACGCGGGGGCCGGGAATTGGAGGCCGGAGGGGGGGGTATTTATATAGGAGCCAGTAGTATAGTGGCGAAGCATGCGTGTAATGTTAACCTGGGTGCTTCGCTTGAGTGCCAGCCGGTTTGAACACTTCATAGGTCCCGTGCCGGTAGTGGGCAGGTGGTCGTACGCGAGGAGCGTTGCGGTCGTTCAAAGTGGCTAGGGTTCTGGAAGATCTGGCCTCTTCTTTTACAATACTGCTGTCCTGGATCATTTCCATTCCCGCCGAAATGAGACCACGCATCCGAATACCACGATCCACCATCCACCATCCACCTTGCGGGCGAGCGGGGAGGCGGAGGAAAATAACCTGACTGGCCTAGCTACATCCCCCAAACAACTGTCTCTATCCGCATGGCACGCGCAAAGCAGATCCGAGAACCGCAACATTCAGCTAGATGCTCGACTACGAGTTATAAGCCACTATGACGAGGGAGGGTGGACCACCGAATCAGGCACCCGGCTATGGATAGGCTGAGGGCGCTGCTTATTGATCGGACCGTCCAAGGCCTTTGATTGATTGGTTACTTCGTTAATTGTTATATGGTTATTTGATGCCGCTGTCCATGCAGCGAATGTAGCTATGTTTTCTGAAGTGGGGAGGTGGCCTACTATAGGCCAGCTCCGGGAATCTTGCCCGAGATGGTGTCATCAAAGCTACGCCAGAGAGATATTAAGATATATATAACCCCCGTTGCGTATTCAGGATTATATCCGTCCGGCCGACGTTCGATCAAAACTATTTCACATCACAATATCAGGATTCGACTATTTATATTTTAGGCTTCATCAATGGGTGGCTCCCGGGGTGCCTGGGGGGTGGGGGGGGGGGGCCGAGGATGGCTGGCCCACAACTTGGCGGTTCCTACCTTCTATTCGCTAACCCATGCGACGTTTATCCTGACCCGACTCGCGGGGGAGGTTTTAAGGAGATTACTTAGGGCATGGACACACAAAATATTATGTGTTTGAGATAAGTGAGCGTGATACTACACTACAGGAAATAAGGTCCTAACGAAATACAAGGAGAAGGAAATCGGAACACATGAGGTTGGCTGTTCTCCACCTCCGCCCCCCCCCCCCCCAACGCCACCGTTAGAATATATTTTTCATTGAAATAGCAAATCAAAGAGATAGCATACATGTGGCCGGTAAAAGTCTGAGAACGAAATATATCGGTATCCTGAGATGCTCTTGCAACAGGATATCTCCTACTCTGTTCCTTCCTTGTCGGTCTCGATACAAAGTCCGGGTGGCGATGGTTCTGAATCGCACGTGTCCGAAGCCCCCGCGGCACGTAGAAGATCCGCCACCGCATATTCACTGTTCAAGAGGGCCACTGATAGTGGTGTCTTGCCCTCTTTGTCTTTCGCGTTCATATTCACCCCGTCCACGGCCAGCAACATAGTAACTATCGATTCATGACCGTGACACGCGGCCGTCCATAGGGGTGTCTCGCCATGTCTGCTTTCCGCGTTCACATTCACCCCGTCCACGGCCAGCAACATAGCAACTATTGATTCATGACCGTCACGCGCGGCCGTCCATAGGGGTGTCTCGCCCTTGTTGTTTTTTGTGTTCACATCTACCCCGTCCACGGCCAGCAACATAGCCACTACCTTCTCATGATTGCAAACCACGGCCACCCCTAGTAGTGTCTCGCCCTCTTTGTGTTTCGCGTCCACATTCACCCCGTCCACGGCCAGCAACATAGTAACTATCGATTCATTACCGCGACACGCGGCTATCCATAGGGGTGTCTCGCCTGATATGGCTTTCGCGTTCACATTCACCCCGTCTACGACCAGCAACATAGCCACTATCTTCTCATGATTGAAAAACACGGCCACCCATAGTAGTGTCTCGCCATTGTTGCTTTCTGCGTTCACATTCACCCCGTCCAGGGCCAGCAACATAGCTACTACCTTCTCATGATTGCCAAACACAGCAAACCATAGTGGTGTCTCGCCCTTCATGTTTGCTGCGTTCCCATCCACCTCGTCTAAGGCCAGCAGCATAGCAACTATCGATTCATGACCGTGATACGCGGCCGTCCATAGGGGTGTCTTGCCATGTATGCTTTCTGCGTTCGCATTCACCCCGTCCACGGCCAGCAGCATAGTAACTATCGATTCATGACCGTGACACGCGGCCGTCCATAGGGGTGTCTCGCCATGTCTGCTTTCTGCGTTCACATTCACCCCGTCCACGGCCAGCAACATAGCAACTATCGATTCATGACCGTGAAACGCGGCCGTCCATAGGGGTGTCTCGCCCATGTTGTTTTCTGTGTTCACAGCTACCCCGTCCAAGGCCAGCAACATAGGTACAATAACCTCACGCTCTTTAAGTCCTGAAGCGGCAATTAATAATGGTGTGTCCCCATGTTGGTTCTCAGAGTTAACCTGCGATGGGTCTAACCTTTCAAGTACATGCGACAGGCCATAGTAACATGCCATCCAAAACGGATTAACCACATCAGAGTTGCTAGGTGTTGCCCACAATACATTATCATCTTTAGCTGCCTGAAGACCCCACCTGGGGTAGGCTGTCGGGTGATTTATGAACGTCATGCAGCTCTCTACAGTTGATATCCCGGAGAGGCGGGCATGCAAGCTCCAATACTCTACAACATAGCTTTTGAGGGCAGGTAATTGACACCCATCCATAACTTGTGGGTCGTAAGTAAGCAGTGTAAGGCATGTCTCCGTCATATACGTGTGGCCACTCTTTTCGGAAAACTCGGCCTGACGTTGCAGATACTCGTGTACAGAGAAATGTGCAAAACGTAGGGTGCCTAATGTTTCGTCGAAGATGACAAGATTTTGACAGACGCTTAGAATCTTTTGTAACGTCCACTCGAGATGTTCTTGATCCGGGACACCCTGATTGGGGTTTACGGCCAAAGATTGGGTGATTATCTGAGGCGTGGAGGGGGTGGCTGCGAAATATATCCACTTCAGGACCCTCTTAGCAACGGTGGCAATTGATTCAGTCTGAGATTCGACACCTTCGATTATGCGACTATAAGTCGCATCCAGATCTCTGGGCAGAGTGCTGAGCGCCCTGTATATACCGCCTTGTGTCCGTTCCTTGCAAATAGCTATAATTTGGAACTGTACCCACATAAACCTAAAAAGAAGAATATTAGCAAGTGAGAAACCTTGATGATGCATTGTCAATGCCATACATTCCATTCGCCTTTGTCTTTAACGTCAATTTTATATGGTCTTTCAGTTCTGTGGATATGACATCCCCATCTAACAGCGGCTCTTCATCGTCCTGCAAGAACCCTGGGTTTGAGCGTCGATCGATTTCAGTCTCTATATAGCAATCGATGTCGCCTGAGTTGTCGGTTGCGTCAATACAATGACTAGAATGATCAATCAGTGTGTTTTGAATATCATCCCTGTTTCGGCCCGTGACAAAAACCTTGATACAATCTGATTCCAAAGTGATGCGATTTAACGCGCGGAATAATGACCTTCTCTCCTTGTTACACTCATCAAGGGCATCGATGATCAGAGTGACCTTGTCAAACCCACGACAAAGATCAACGATAAGCTCTCTGCTCTCATCTACGTTGAGAGGACCAGATGCGTGTCCTTTGCTTTCCCGCTCATCATAGATTTTCAAAAGGGCCGTTGGTAGCGTTGTTGAATCTTTGTCCATAGTGAGGCACATCTGCTTAAGGATAGTCCTCAAAACTGACTCTGGATCGTTCCTCCCATCTTCTGTGTAATGACAGTAGAAATACACTACAGCATATTTCTGGTCCTGAGCATTACCCGCCTCTTCCTGGAAATGGTCGACTATCCGTGAGCTATGTCAAATCAGCCTAGGTAATGAACAGGGAGTCAGTCAGTGTAGGGAGCTTACGCCAGAAAGCTTTTGCCACATCCAGCTAAGAATCTAATTATCAGTATACACCAGAGTAGTTCGATTATTAGGAGGGCTTGGGCTGAGAATTCTTTGCCTACCTCCTCCGCGTAACCAAAATATTGACGAATTTTCAGACATATTCCACGCCCCATACTTGTCATGTTGAAGAGGCCACTCCCCAGTACCCTCGCGACGACGCTTACTGAAGTAATTATGATGATCGCTGAATGGCATTTTAGACAGCCACATTAAAATATCCGAACGTCTTTGCTCTAGATTTGGGATTATTATCGGTATTGGATGCACCGATATGGTAAGGATATCACTACTCACTCTCTACGATTACAACCATTTTGTCGATGGAGGATTGCATACCGATGACCGGTATCTGTACGGAGTCCATTACGTCCAGAAGGCGTTTCAGTGTTTCAGAGTTCTTGATTTGATCTACCTTTATTAGCCATTCCTCACGATCGATATATAGAGATAGAGCACACACGAGTACGCCCGGCGTCTGCATCTATCATTCTTCTATATTAGTATTATAGCAAAGAACAAGAATAAAATTGGGTGTCCAACCCTCTTTCGCAGCTATTGACGCATAACCGCTAACCACCTTTTCTAAATCCTGCATCCCCAACAGCCTACTCTTCGACCCAGCTAAAAAGCTATTAAGTACTTGCTCTGTAAATGTAAAGATTAGCATAGGGCGTTGAACCCATGACAGGAGCACTCACTAGTGATACTATTTTGGAGATGCCCCTCGGCATAGAGGAGATATTTCAAGACTGAGATATACAGATTGACAATAGAGTCTGTAAGGTGTTTTGAAATTTGGAAGCTTTTATTTATGTAAAGTCTCTCGTAAATATCACAGCAGCATATGATGCGCAGTAGATAAGAAAAGCTCTCTCCAATAGATTTCATATTCTCAGTGTGTGCGGACGCAACCTAGAAGTAAGTGAGCAAGAAGGAGCTTCGAGCAGCCCAAACAGCCTGTTAGTATATCTCGGAAACTTACATTTAAGAGAAACTGAAATCCTGCCCACGCCAGGGCAACGATATTAGGATTGTGCTGGATAGCAATGTTTCCTATCCCCACGTACTTCTGTAATTGCTCCAAAGCGGATTCCAGATAGAAAACCCTTGTGCCATCTTCCTTCTCGTAATACCATCGCTTATCGTCGGCGGTGTCCTTTTTCCGTTGAACAGAATCAATGAGAGCCTGAACTAGGTTTAGGTCGCAGCTTTTGCCTTTGAAGATTTTTTCCTGCTCTCCTTTGGGTAGCTTTTCTTGAGCCACTTGCCAGAGATCGATACCTGCCCTGGTAGCGGTTAGTAACTCATATCTATGAACTTGTATCACTGACCCAACATCGTATTCGGGCTTTGAGAGGAGGGTGGGCAACATACCCTGCCGTGACGGTAGTCTTTTCCTGTACAGGGGTCAAAGCCAAGGGGTTAGGTGTAGGCAAGGTGGCCCGAGACGACGTTGCGAGGAACTCAGCCGACGATTCGGGAGATTGAGCTGACGGCTCGGGGACCGGGGTCGACGCTTGGGGAACCAGATTCAACGCTTCGGGGGATTGAGTCAACGCTTCGGGGACCAGAGTGGACGATGCGGGGGAGTGAGTTGACGCTCGGGGGGGGTGAGTCAACACCTCGGGTGTTTCGATCGGGACGCTTCAATATAATTAGTTAACTACACTCTAGTGTGATCCTCTAATCTATGGAGACACTACCTAGTCCTGGAGGGAACACTGATTTGAGGAGCTGCATCGTGCAGAACCTTCGGGGCACCTATTACAACAGAAGTGGGCACCAGCGCTCTGGTGTTGTTAGCAGTGCTGGGTAAGGTTATCAGGGTGCATCGTGTCAGTCTATCAAGAAAGTAATCTGTACGTACCTGTTGACGAGACCTTGATCGCTTGGCAGGCTAGGACCTGTGGTATGTGTTTGTTGGCCAGGCACCTCAGAGTTGATCGCTGATACAGTAGGTGCAGAACCAGCTTTTGCTTTCGCGCCGCGGAATCTAGAGAGTTTCTTTTTGAGTTTAGATTGTATAGAGCCCATGTTGTATTTTTAAGCCGTGATGGACCTTATTGGCGTTTATAGGGCTTATTTTGAACTCGGTTAAAGCTGAGAAGAGAGGAGTTGACGATTACGATTTAGAACGAGATGAGAGTATTGGTAGTAGCGTGTTATGATTTTGGTGCGGATGAAGAGTAAACGAGAGTAGTAAGAAATTGATATAGCCAGGTCAGATAGCGGGGAACCAGAACACTTGTTCCTAGCTGATACGCGGAGCTTAACGAGCAAGTAGGATTCATCACCTTGTAGACTACCGGCCAATGTTACACAAAGCCGCCTTGGCGGGTTCTGAACATCAGAAGATGATAACTACCACTTGATATGTAAATTATATTAATAATAGAACTGATCGGGGAAGAGGAGGGCTTCTAACATTCGTCTCCAATATCTCGAGCGTGAGACCACCAAGCTATAGCACATTTGCCTATTCACAACATGTTCATGTAATCACAGCTCACAGCTAAGCTTTGGGCGCGCTAGGGGTAATCAGTTAGTAATATAATGCGATATTTGATACAGTGAGTATGTAGCCGAAACAGGGGCAAGGGAAATGTAGCGTTTAGAAGCGCGCAACGTCAGAGGGTTCTTCGTGTGCACCAAAATCTTGGATGAAGCTCCAAAAGATGGTGGTATGAATATGTACCCAGCTGTGTTGAAAATCCTTCCCATGCTTTACACATCACTCTCGCGTCCGCTATCCGATAGTATGATCCCGGCACCAGCGATTTATCGAGTGTGTACGCTGAACACCGGAGGACTTCTGCGTGGACTGATTGAGGCTAGTGATGCAAACAAGACAGAAACCCTGCGATATGAGAGGGAGAACAAGGCAATACAGGTAGTCTAACAACACCGTAAAATCTTCAAAAACTGAGAGTCTTCCAGGCCGGGGGCCCGATAGGCACTTAGATTAATATGTGTACAAATTCAATAATTTACAACCCTAACCCTACCCTAACCTCAGCCCAGCCACAGCCGTCTCGAGACTTTGCACGATACCTACCCTATATCTCTTTAACCAGAACACCCCCCCCCCCCAGATACAGGACGAGGCTAGATCAAGGGAGTCGCCGTCTGTGACGAGAAGGAAACTTGACAAATAGTGTTATCTCCGTGGATTACCGGTCTCCGTCAATTGGCCGGCAGGGGCCTATGGGATGTTCGGCAGAAATCAGAGCTACGATATGAATTCTTCATGCTGATAGAGACTCAAAGTACCACTCGACTCAGGACATAGAAGTGCCACGGATTCGGGTTGATGCAATGATTGATTCACGGGTGCGTGGAGTTAAAATTGGAACTGAAGGCCATAGTCTGATCAAATAAGTTAACTGGAGTGTCTATAAATAACCACCATCGGCTCCCCCAATATAGATTGGTTGCATCGGGCTCTGATCCCTTGGTGTTCAGGCTTTGATCGTAGTATGGGAGGTACCCTCCTGTCTGGTTAATGGTTAATGTGCCATTATTCGCTTACGACATAGACCTCGCTGCATTTTGGTTGAAGGTCATTGCGTGAAGCTTACGCTTCGCCGACTTCTTTCCGACATCGGCGGTGGGCGACGGACAGCCACGCGCTCATGTTTCGCATATCAGCGGACCCATATCTCATCCCCGGCGATTGTGTATCGCATCGAGGGCTGATCTCATCCAGCGCCGTACGCCAACTACGCCCACGTCGCTCCAGTGCGGTGGTCTTCCAGCGGTCCGTGGCGTGTTTACATAAGCAGAGAGAGCAGAGTGAGATTCCATGGTTCCGCCTGAACATTAGTGAACTCCAGCGATTGATTGACATTGAACTATTCCTTTAACATCTTTAGCATCTTTCGAAGTACATGATGGGAACTGCTTCGTAAAAGAAAATCTTCGGCATACGTCATATCTAGTTCAGGAATTGCAGTACAGACGAGACGCTAGTTATTGAGTATGATATTCAATCTGGTTTTCTGGTGATTCCACTATACCGGCGTCCACTAATGGTGAATACTGCTGTAACGTTCCTCTACTGGCTAGCCACCGCTGAACTCCCAGTCTTCATGGACATAGCAGTCCATATGAGAACGTTCCTGGATAAGCGGTATTCCTCCATGGGCTAGTGCAACGCCACCAAACCGACCCCGTCCAGAAACCCCCATCCGCCTCCAGTAATCCCCCAAGCGCACCCGGCCGGCGGAGGACCAGCAACTATAAGAATTCGACATAATTTGCCAGCTTCCTAACCTAAACCTCTCAAGCGATGAGGACCGGTGCCAGACCTGCTCGGAATGGGCTGGTCATGATCATCAAGGAGCGGAATGCTACCCGAATCTGGTCACCGGCGAATGCTCCTTCTACCGTCGGGTAGGATATCGCGTCTGTTGGGTTTATCGGGGAATTGGGAATGAGTAGCACTTGTTTGAGCTTGAGACAAACAACGTACCCGACCCGACCGGTAAGTAGTGTAACAATAATTCGAGGGTGCTCAGATAGGACGGGAGGGAGGGTAGGGCTTCTCACTTTTGATTGAGTCCACATTCTCTTTCTTCTAAGCCGAGAAGAGTGTTGACTGTTTTCTCTGTGCAAATAGAAATAGGGAAGTCAAGGTTTTTATACGACTAGCGTCTGGTCTTGGCGTCTCCCATGGAAGACCGTTTCGTGATTCGCGGACATAGCTTAGATAGTTTGCACCCCCCAAACCGCGAGAGTATCTTCATCAAGGTCGATGCATCCATTCGAAATTTAGTTTGCACCACCGCCCCCACATATCCAAGAGCGCTTCAGTGAGGGTTAGGGTTATCACGAACACTCTCCTATTGCAGTTCAGGGGGGTACATACATGGTCGATGAAGTTCGGAGTGTGTGAGCAAATGACTTGAGTGTGGTTTGAACACGTGACCTTGAGGGAGGATGTGGTTTGTAGTGCGAAGAAGATACTATTGCGCCGCTGAAGTTCCAGCGACAATGTGGGCGTTTGAGCGCTCTATATATACAGATATTCTAATACCACATGATCCCCTGATTACATAATCCCTGACACTAAGCCTTGTCTGAATCCCTGTTTCTTCTATGAGTCATCCCTTATACATGAGTAATTCCATACATAACCGATGTCGCAATGCCCTATTTCTACAGTCGAAGCCCCAAACCCAGACTTAGCAGCCCAGGTGCCGAGGGGAACAGAATTTTAAGGGTAGGGCAATTCAATAGACTTGTAGCTATGGGTGGTTTGTTTGGTTGTGTGATCGCCATCCGGCACATGCACCTCGGCATGGCCTGCTCCGGGGAAGCGAGCCGGGCGCGGGAGAAACACTGGCGATCGATCGATTCGGGCGGGGTTCAAAGATCAAATCTAAGTCAGTTGATTGGTTGTTCTGTGCTTTGCCATCACTTATCGCTCTGTACTTTTGCATTGAACCCGGGCTCTTATTTCGAGACTTAGCTGTAGTAGGGTAGAGTAATAAACCAGCGCGGAACTGGTCCTGGTCCTGTCATCAATATAATAGATATAGCCTTAGAAGACTTCGTCAGTCGCGAAGTGAAATACCGAGAAATTCGATTGATTGGCTCGAAATTCTATGGGCGCCACGCATGGCAACCACAAGTGACCAATGATTTTCAGAGTAGCAACGGGCATAGCCACACAATTTGTATGATGGAAAAAAATACCGAGAACATTTACAAATTCTCACTTTAAAAATCTAAATATTTAACTAAAAAAATAAAAAAAATATCCAGAAGATAGGGCTCGCTCCCTACTCCCCCTACATAGAGCCCTAGGTCAGCAAAGAGATTTTTGGTGGGGTTCAAAATAATCGGGGGTAAAAAAGAGTCAAATTGCGGTGGTAGAGGTTGCGTGGCGAAAGCTAGGGCATGCACCCCCTCAAATATTTGCTTAGCCGCCAAGCATGTTTGCTTGGCCGCCAAGTTTTTCTTTAAAGTAAATTCGGCCAATCGCAGGCCCTCGCAGGCCAGTCGGAATAAAAATCTCCTAAAAGGTGGTTCTTTGTACTTACCGTGCACACCCTGTACATATGTATGGTAGGGATTTCTGTTTGGGCGACCACTACCCTACGCCCGCGGGCAACCCACCGTAGGCTATTCTATGGTGCGCACACCCATAAATGTGATAGGGTGGCGTACAGAAGATACAGAAGTGGAACAATTGTGGCTGCAATATCGCCTCATGGGCCAATAAGAGGAGGGCCTTCTGCTGCATCACTACCATGGAGGGTATAAATGCTTCTTTAAGGGTATAAATGGGTTTAATACTGTTCCACTTTGTGGATGCTTGGCGCATTTTACATACTAAAATACCCAATTTCAAATTTGAATAACTTTTTAACCAGGACAGATATCAAAAATCCGGTAGATGAATCTATTCTTCATCACTAGTTCTTGAAATTCATCTACCGGATTTTTGATATCTATCATGGTTGAAAAGTTATTCAAATTTGAAATTGCACAAACTTTTGTCTACATTTATCGGTGTGCGCACCATATATAACCACAAAGCCTTGCGTTACACGAGCTCAGACCATACGGGATTGCAACAACCTGGCCCCACCTCTACCTCCTCCTCTACTACCGCATAAAGCTCCCTCCTAACCTACCGCCCACAACAACCAGCTCTCACGCCCCCCCCGCGCCTGCCCCTCCCCACAACCCCGCCCCTAAACCCTCAACCCGACAATTCACCCTGCACCCTCGCCGCCACCTACCGCGCCCTGCACACCCGCCTCCTCCACCAGCGCACCGGGCGCTCCGCCATCGCCGCCCCGGACTACGTCTCCAGCCTCAAACGGAAGCGGCACGTGCCCAGCGCACGCGCCTACGAGCGCATCCTCGCGCTGCTCGGGTACGCGGCGGAGAAGGGGTGCACGCAGGTTGTGAGGTGGATGGCGTATGGGGGGATTCTTGTGGACTGGGATGGGCGCGGGTGGCTGGGGCGTCGCCGCTGGTGAGGGCGCTGAGGGGTGGGCGGGGGGTGACGGTGAGGTGGTTGTTGGAGGCGGGGGCGGGGGTGCCGGGATTGGGGTGGAGGGGGGGTGGAGATGGAGGGGGTGGTGGAGAGGTTTAGGAGGGGGTGAGGAGGTGGAGAGGGGGATGGAGGAGTGAGAAGGGAGGTTGGGGGGGGGGGGGGAGAGGAGATGGGGTGGTTGTATGGATGAATTGAATTGGGAGGGGGTGGGTCTGTGGGTGGGTTGGTGGGTTGATGTGGTTTTGATTTTCTATGCCGATGTGGATGGAGGTGGGCTTTGTAGGGTTGAACGAGACATCCGCTGTTGGTATCACACAATAACTACATATTGATTTTCTTCTGGTTAGCGTATTTGTGCGCCTGGGGGAGACAGGGATGGTTGTTATGGCGCTACCTTTAAGACTTGCGTTACACAAAGTCACTGTGGCCGATTAAACCCTGCGAACCTTAATCCCACCTCGCCACCCGATCAGGTTACTGTGGGGAGGTGCATTGCCAAGGCTACCAGCTAGTGTGCTACATGTCCCTAATTCTAATTCTACTAGTAGTGATTTGTTTACACATAACGCTCTGCCCAGTTGTTCGCCTACATTACTGAACTGTTCGTGCTATCCGTCGACGATTTGATGTATCGGAGGTGACGAGTCACGAGTGATAGTACGTGGAGAATACCACGATTGCGTACCGCGCAATTGTAAAGCGGCAATAGGTGGGTGTTGTAATCGCCGTGAAGCCGGCGGTGTTTCCGCTCGTAGCAATGCTTGGTGGTTTGTTACCAGGATTCCTTCGGTAATGGTTAATATAAATACTTCCTCCGAATATGGCAACTAGATAGGTATAGCACCGGGACAGGGGTTTTGGTAATATACGCTTTTTACAGCCAAAGTAGCCATGTTTAGCTACCCGAAGCAACCGGCGGGTGTCACGCAAAGTCAATGGTCGCCTTGCAATTGATAGTTTCAATAGCCTTGTATTCCGATTATCCTATGCCAGGCATGTACAGAGCTACCGCACGAGCCTTTATGATACAAGCGGAGTGCGGCCTCCGGCCGCCCAAGTGTAATGAGCCAGAAACGGGGGTACGGTACGCTGCTATGGTGGTATTTTTGGACCATTGGGTTGTCGAAATGTATATACGTATAGGCACTAAGCTTCATCTCTCCTTGTAATCTGTGTAATTAGCTCAATTACGTATGTACGTACTAAGAACTACATGTATATGTTAAATAAATACACTCTAACTCAGTTCTTTCAATCCATATGAGTAGCTCACAATCGTGGTCGGGTGCCGCTGTGTGGCACACCGACTCCTCCTTGCTCGCCGACTTTATACGTAGATGTTGTTAACAAAAGAGTATGGGATGCCAATTCCCTTCCATCTCGGGAGTAGTTCTTTGTCTGATGATACCCAATTCCCCGCAACCAATAGAAAACGTTCCTAGTGACGATGAGGAAGACTATATAGTTAGAAAAGGGAAGAAAGAAAGTAGAAGATAAAAGAGATCGTGCTAGCTGGATTGAAACAAAGTGAATATCACGGGAATCCGGACATGACAAGGGAAAGTAATAGACGATCCTGCGGGTCATTGACAGCAACAACGAACAGCAATTCCTCAGTAGAATAGGTCTTTTCCTCTTTTTATTTAATCCATTACTTGCATACAACCTTACAGCTCTGGCAATTGGTAGTGAAGGTCAAATTTCGTGCTGGAGGAAAGATTATAGTGCAGGATGCTGATACTCGGGAGTGAAGCTATACCATCAATTAGGAGATGGCTATTATGACTTTCGGGGAAGATTTTGATCATTCATAATCTTACATAAATTATTCACCCTCTCCCTAAGTACGTAAGTACATCTGCATTTTTTATTTAGGGACATACCCGAGTCATTCCTGAGTTGAATTGACCTCCATTTACATTAAACCTGTATATCCATATCACTGATGGTACACCGTATAGCCACTCTGCAAAGGTGTTCGTGATTCCGATTTCGGAGTGAAACATTTTTCCATATGTAACCGTGGTGGGCAACTCTACCAGCGATGTAAATGAATCAATTGATTCATTTCCCGGGGACGTTTGTGGAAAAGACACAAAGGATTCGTTTCCGCAGGCAAAATCTCGTTTTTTGATTCATTTCCAATGTTTCGCCGCTTATACATACTACCACTTTTATACAGGCGCCCGTGGTCATGCCAAATTGCCTTTTTTGATACTTTTCCCGATGCCTTTTCTCGTGCTAAGTGTGCTGGGTATCAGCAATGCCTTTCCTATACCTTTTCTTGTTCCTTTTCTGATATCTTTTTTGATTTGTTTCTTGATGGCTTTTCTCGGCCTGAGTTGGGCAACAGAAATCCCTTTTCCTATGCAGTTTCTGAGGTGTTTTCTCGGGCTGTCCCGGGTATCAGTAATGCTTTTTCTGATGCCTTTTCAATGTCTTTTCCGAGTCTCGGGCAGCGCCGTGAACCAAAAATGTCTTTTTTGATGCCTTGTTTAATGCTGTTTCCCACGCCGTTTCATATGCCTTTTCTAATCCCTTTTCTTATCTTATACAGAGCTCTCCTACCTGTATAGAATAATTCCATGCTGATGGTGGCGGTCTTCTATTAATACCTTTTTTAATACCTTTTTTGTGTTCTTTTCCGATGACTTCTTTGATGCCTTTTCCCGGGCTAGTATGCGGGGGCCAGAAATGTCTCTTCTTACGCCTTTTCTTGTGCCTTTTCTTCTCTTATACGGGATCCTCCAAGCTGCCCCAGCGAGTGCCTTGCCGCTCATGGCCGTCTTTTGCTACTGCTATCTTTAATGTCATTTTTAAAGCCATTTTTAACGCCTGTTTTAATGTCTTTCCTTTGGATGAGCCTGGACCTGGAATGTCGTTTCCGGTGTCTTTTTTGATGTCTTTCCGGTACTTTTCTAACTGCCTTCCCCGCGCTGCGTGGGTATCGGAAATAGCTTTTCTGACGCCTTTTCCCTAGTCTTTAAGCCATCAAAAAAGCTTTTTTTCTGATGCATTTTCCGATGCCATT